TGCAGCACTGAAGCCCGACCACCACGTCAAGGTGGCAGATTTAGGTCGGGGTAAGCTAAACTCAGTATTCTGTATTGTGGTAAAAACGGAAGTCTAATATATTCATACATGGCCGCTTTGTTAAAATGATGACTGAAAGCACGTTAGCTGATTAAGACAGGAGATATGTGGGGTACTCTTCTAATTGAAGTTTCAACCTCGCAAATAGTTTCAGGGGTCAGCTGTGTCCGAAAATAGAGCCCATGAATCTGAGCTGATCCACTCAAGAAACGGGTCTTTAATTAGTGAGTTTAATTGCGGATATCTGGAATGAAATGAGTACCGTGAAATCCAGGGACACTCGATTTTCGTCTATCAACCAGTGGAACAAAATAAAACTCACAGTTATCTTTGTGACCGTTTGCCAACATTCTGCAACTTATTGCGTTCTCACCGTAGAACTCGTTGGAACAAACTGCACTGTCACCTCCACTGCCCGGAGGAGAATACAAAATCGATTTTAACAATCTTGATGAATATTCCGATCCCTTTGGGGGGAAAATAACCAATAAAGCAGCGAAGCCATCAGCGCCAAAATCCAACGACCCTGGCGTTTGGTGGAAAAATAACCAACATAGTGGCGAAGCCATCAGCGACAAAATCCAACGACCCTGGCAACCATTCGAATGATTGGCAAACTGAAAAAGCTTCCGGATCTTCCGAAATGGGAAATGCTCCGGAGGCAGAGAAAATACAAGATATAAAGGGTAAGTTAGTTTTGAAAGAAGACTTCAACTGTCTTCCGTTCAAGAAAGGTGTGTGGCTGTCATCTCCTGCACTATATCGTGAGCTACATAAAAACTCAAAACAGGGTACCGGGTATTGGTTTAGACGACTAATTTAGAGATGCAGAGTTTGGTATATTCCTTAAAGCCGAGATACCTGTGTTAAATTTCTTCCAGGAGTAACCTCGGAGACATACCGGTTTCCGAAAGACCAGAAAACCTTGTTGGTCAAACCAGTGCCCAATGACCAGCCCAATCAACCCAGTGTAACTCGATGGGTTGAACAAGCCATCACACCGCGGTATGGTCTGATCTCCTCGTGACGGGCCTGAGCCATTGTCCAGTACTGTAAATGCGAATCACTTTTTACTACAAAATCAATTAAATAGACAGTACACACCCAAACCAAGGGGTAATTCCGCGACAGAAGCTGCAGTTTGTTTCTGGTTCTGTACCAGGAACGTGGATTAGTCATACAAACCAACAAGAATTTGAAGTAATATACTGAAAAGGCAACAAGAGTTCGACCATTCAGGGTCTAGGGTTGGGCAAGCTATCCAGGTAGTACAAGGTTGCATTTGGACGTGTTTAACCGATGAATATTGCTTGAATGTCCGTACGTGCTAAATTCTGGGATCATCTATTCAGGATTATTGGGCATATTCGGTAAACTTAACCTCACGCCGGTTGTCTGAATGTCGTGTAGATCCAATGGTTCATCAACATCCTAGAGAGCTAGGCCTTCAAACAGATAAGCTGCCTATATTCCCTTCTGTTTTGCCATCTTTAGAGAATCTCACAACCGAAAACCTGGTGCAGGAAAAATCCAACACGGGTTGGACAAACGATTCAGAGGTGAGACTAATTGGATTTTTATACAGTTTTCATTTAAATAAATAGTCTCTGTTTATTTCAAGATGTCGCGGAAAATTGCCGCTCCTGCTTTGTCCAACCCGTTTTGCCATCCACAATCGTTGCATGCAAAAACACCTGTGGACTTCGTCTGCTGATGGTAGTGGGGATAGAGTTGGTAAATTTAGATTGATATTCCATCGCTCAATGAAGCCGGTTTATGCTGAAAGCCAACGAACACAGCTCAGATATTGGGAATAATCAGCGTTGCGTAACTCTTGAATTTCCTGGTTACTTCGAGCCAGTGACATGCCAGCTGCATTCCTGGACACATAGCCGTTTGGACGCCAGCAGCTAATCATCAGTGGTATTATCTCGTACTTAAACTATAACGCCACCGATCCTGTGTGCACTGAAACAACGTCACGCGGTCACGTGCTGAATGTCACATCAAGTGACGACTTCTCAAAACTAAGTTCTATTCATGAAGGAAACTACTCACAAGGTTGCTGAAAACTCTTCGGCAGCCAACTACCGGTCTCGCCTTTCTTGGGGCTCGTCAGGTAGGCGCAGTCCCCGAGTCTCCGTCAACCTTATGTTCTACTTGAACCCAATATACTGCGATATCTCGAATATCGTGTTAACTGAAACATGTGGCGGCCTGTGTGCAGCACATTCAGTTGTAGAATCTCACAAACGAGAGATTCAGTTGAGTCTCTCGTGAGAACCAAATTATGTTCAATTCACTTTGTAACGTTACGCATCTTCTGAGCGACTTGTGCACTGATTGAGGTGTGAGATTCAATAGGTTTCAATTGAAATTTCATCCCACAAGTGAAGGAGCAATGGCATTTTATCCAGTCCATTTTCGAGGTAATCGCATTGGCAATCAATCGTGGCCGGTCGAATCTCCCAAACTCCTGATTGGAATTTCGTGAGATACGCAACTATGGAGAATCCCAATAAAGAGGAAACATCTCTACATTGATTCTCGGCTTTTCAGCAAAGAATGTCCTCACGGACAAGACGGTTGAAGGAGAGTTTACAAACTCTTGCTATAAAAATGGCTGTCTGGGATTTTGAAGAGAAGTTATCCACTTGAAAGTACTTCATCTTATTGCGGAAGATCGGTCCCATGCTCAAATGTAACTCGGTGGCCACGCTGTCAACAGCTGAAATATTTGTAGTTCAATATGTCTTGGCATCAGAGACTGTGGAGTAAGTTTGATATGATGCTTGATATGCATCAAATAAGGTCGAGAAGTTCAGCAAGCAAACTTTGGCATCTAATCCACTATAAGCATTCTATTCGACCACCATCCTAACATCTTTTGGCCTTCAAAGTGTAAAGTCATGCTTCAGAACATTAAGTTTGCGTACATATCTCTGACAATTCAGGGAGAATTGCTGGAGATTGTGCGAAATTTTTACACAACAAGGTAGTTGCTCTGATGGAAATGTATCTGATGAAGTCAGTGCAAAAATATCAAAGGCTCGAAATCATGCTCGCTAATTTGCGTCACTTGTGGCGTCAAAAAAGGCGTGTAAAATATTACAGTGAGGGCTGTGTTTTGTATCGGTGCTAGACGGCCTCTGTGGACAGATGATGTGAGGCGTTTTCAGGTTTCTGACCACCAATGCCACAGAAGCGTGGCTGATTTTGGATGGCGTCAACGACGAGTTTGGATGTTGCTGGTATTGTACGCGGTCCTTGTGACCCCGCAGGTGCTTGGCTGGAGATGTTGCAAGAAACTGCGGCTGATCAACGTCAGTGGCGTTCGTGCTGTCAGTTTCTTTCCAGATCGTCTGACTGTGCGCCTAGAGGCACCTCAGAATGCTTGATATGGGCCAGCACTGGGTCCCCTCCCTTATCCACTCTCTCTTCTTTTCATTCAGGAGGTTTAAATATAATTGGACGAACCTTACGGTTGTGTGGCGGTGAAGCATCAAGATCAAAACTGATGTTGCTGTCCTTGATGGTGATGTTGGTGATGATTCTAATCGACCTCATGCAAATGGATATATCTTGTGAATACTGCGAACACTGACATAATTGAGAACACCGGTGGATAAATATTATCACTCAAAACAAGTTCAAAATCGTAGATCCGATCGAAGCTGAAAGGCAACATCCCTACACAATAAATCCAAATAGTAGATTGAAAATAACTGAGAATGACATTTCCAAATACACGCACTATGGTGCCTTTTTCTACATTTATACTTTAGAAATCAGAGGAGCAAACAGTAGTGTCACCTCCACTGCCCCGGAGTGAATACAAACTCGATTTCGACAATCTCGATGAATATTCCGATCCGTTTGGGGGAAAGGTGACCAACACGAAGAAAAAGCCATCAGCTCCGAAACCCAAAGACATTGGCGAGGAGAGGGAAGTTCATCGAGATGACAAGTCTTCCAAATCAGCCAAAGTGGAGCAAGTCAGCGAAATCGTCCAAAGTTGAAACTGCTCCGGAAGGGAAAGCAAAGCAGCCGAACACAAGTGAGTTAAGTTTGTGGTGACCTTATATTACTTGTTGCTAAACGCACTAGCGCTCTTGCCACGAAGCACTCAACAGTTATACGCTTGGATAACACTGTTTAAAGGAATACAGTTTGGACCACGTGACGCATTTGCTGTAATGCGACAGGTAAAAAAACATTCGGTCAGACTCCGCACATGTACCTCGCCGTAAGAAGCGACCTGAAAACCGCAGCGACTTGTCACATCTCAGCAAATAGATCCGTAAATGCATATTGATCACAGTCCAGTATGCACTAACAGTCTGAGGTAGATCTGAACCTCAAGCTGTCCCCTAGTCGTGGTGGTTGAACTGCAGTGCCACAATGATCCTGCTGGGTGGAGCATAGTTTTCCAAGGTTCATTCATACCAGAAAGGCCAGTTCGAAGCAGCTGGATAAAAGCAGCTAATCCACGTAATGCGAGATATCGCATTCCGAGGCCGTCTGAAGGTAAAGTCGAAAAGTTCACTGTGATAGAAAACGGCAGCGCATTTCCTTCAAGTGACAAGCATCTGCAAATTTATGGTAGGCCTTAACACATCTGTAAGGTAAATGCGAAACACAGTCACACTTTCCTCCGGAGGCAGGAAGCAACCGACAGTTAACGAAATGTTCTATTCCCAGTGGCGGCCCCTAAAGCCATCCAACCATCCATCCAGTAGTAGGATTGGGTGATGTCAGGACAGCGGATCTAGACGTCTGATTGCCGTCCTGAACCTCCGAGTAACGAACTGCATCACTAAATTTCATCGCATGACGTAACCGGCCACTCTAAACTAAACTGCAATAGTTTAAGGTGTGATGTGGGCCGCAAATATTTGTACTGTTTGCAAATTGCGTTTAGTATTCATGTGGTTCGGTTGGTCGAACAACTCTCCCAGGAGGGTGGAAAACTAGCAATCATTAACCTCCACGGCCACACCCGAACATTAATAATAAGAAGTATAATTTATGATCAAAACTTCATGAACTACGCCAAGCCTGTGTTTATCAGATGATGTAGTTGGGTCCTAGTTTCACAGCGGCGGGATGTTTTAACTTGAACATGAAACAGTCGTTACTACTAACAACGTAAGAAGTAATATGATGAATAGATGGTCTGAGTTTGGGATTTTAGAGGGTGGGTGCGAGTAAGTAGATACAGTTGAAACTGAATTTATCAACGAGGAATCAGTGAATAATTCCTGAATTCAACGTCAAATATGGCCAGTCGTTGAATGATCTATGAACGGCAGTTACGTGCAAACGCTGAAATAAACCTCCTAGGATCTTCTAGCGTGTTTTACTCCGGCTCTAAATCCACCGGGCGGACGGATTCTTCACGGTATTCCAAAATCAAACTGATCTGTGTGGAATCGAATTTAAATGACCAAGCAGACTTATTCCCTCCTCTATTTTGCCATTTTCAGACAAACGGAAATCCGAAAACCCGATGCAGGAAAAAATAAACACAGCTTCAACAAATGATCTCCAGGTGATTTCAGTTTTGCAGTTTCATTTCAAACTCGTTGTTTCGCATTGTTCATAAGAGCTGAGCATGGACATTTCAGCCATTTATCAGATCTCGGAATGATGCTGTGACCTGTATGGTGTAGTCACTTTGGCATGTTGTCAAGTACTAATTCAACGTACATGACCTCAGAAATCCCAAGTAGGTATAAGTACCGTCTTGCTTACACGTCCACACTTTCGTTTGAATACGCAACCCATGAGTATGCACATACCAGCGACTAGATAGCTCGTTTATGGTTCTTATGGAAAACAAACGATCCCCAAGTGTATGTCCATTCCATCTCAATCTATTCTTGACAAGAATGGACAAAAACACCAAGATTCGGCACTCCACAGATGAGCACCATTCTACATCTTTTAAATGATTCTTCGCAGAACTAGTATCGTGAGAACTTTTGCGCAAGCACGGAGCTAAGCTAAATAGATTCAGGAAAGCGATGCCTTCTAACAGAAATATGGTTTGAAGTGGGGGGTTGGTGAATTGAATTGTAGCTACTTATTATTGACGAGTAGTATGCAATTTAAAACATTTGTGGCACCGGTTGGAATTCGGTTGGCATGTCGCCAAAAGATTCTTTATTATCTTCAATGTCTAAATGCTTTTGGTAGTGCTCTGAGTAAAAATGGCACAGATCTACATGGTTTGTTCTGGTATTTCTTTGCAGCGATCTGCTCTTTGGCAACCGAATATGGTACTGATTGGGGATGCCGAACACTAAATTTTCTGAGAACGAAATGAGAACTACAAGAAATTATGGGGTGGTGTTTTACTCAGACTTCACCAAATATGACTACTTAGTCTAACAAGGAAGCACGGCTAATCATTTATTTTCTAATCGGAGATACATAGGTAGTCTACACTACTTACTGCGACATTTCATGTGTTGGTAGAGAAATTTCAGGAATATTCAGTGGGAAAGAGCTAATTAGGGCGCACGAAAGTATTCCACCTGTCCAGGGTACTAGAAGAAAGGGGAAGGGGCCAAAATAAAATGATTTGATTAGGCACATGTGATCTTACGGCCTTCAGTTGTCTGTGCTCGGTTGGTTTCTTTAATGACAAAATCAAGTATTTGACTAACTTAAATCGCAGGAAAGTAGTTGATCGGCAGGTTTTATGAGAACTTACCAATCAATCTTCTGACGAAAGTTTGACTTCATTGGTGCATGAATCATGCAAAAAGAGAGGAATATCTTTTAGCATATCATCTGACACATCTAACTAAGAACATCGTACGGAATGTTGAAAATGTCAGCAGCATGCGTAAAAAACTTAACTCAGTATTCTGATAGGAAAATTCATAGTGTATTATGAGTTACACTACTGTGGAATGTTTGCAGAAAAATTATGAATGGTGAAACTGCTCCGCAAATTCATGCTAACCCTGAAGGTACATATCATGTGAGATCGATACTCAACCAGGCACCCAGCGCAAGCACTGCAAAAATAGATGTATTTAAAATCAAACTTGGCGTCCTCGCTCTGTCGGAAGTCAGTTGAGGTTACTAAATGCTGTAAAAAACATGAGATCAGAAGAAGCGGCTGACACTTTGAGTGTATGACCATCGAAAACAAGCCTAATACCACAATTCTGATCGAACAACAGTAATACTTGTTAAATTAAATTCCTACACTAGAAATCAAACGAGCAAGAAGAATTGTCACCTCCACTACCCCGGGGTGAATACAAACTCGATTTCGACAATCTCGATGAATATTCCGATCCGTTTGGGGGAAAGGTGACTAACACGATGACGAGGCCATCAGTACCGAAACCCAAAGACGTTGGCGAGGAGACGAAACCTCCACGAGATGACGAGTCATCGAAACCGTCCAAAGTTCAAAGTGATCCGAACGGCAAAGCAAAACAGCCGAATACAAGTGAGTTAAGTTAGTGAAAGGTCTTAAAATTGCTACCGCTCAAGAGAATTTTGTGATCAACAAAAGAACACAACCAGTTATACTCTTCATCAGGTTTCTTTGAAGAACTACATTTAGGACCACGTGGTGCATATGCTGTAAAACGACAGGTAAGCGGCCACGTGATCAGATTGTTCACAATCTGCGTGGGGACGTAAAAACGTCGGAGCCGCAAGAACATATTTCGGCATATCTCTTTTTGAATGTAAAATTACCCGGAAGATAGTATAGTTTAACGGTCGGGAACAGATTTATACTCGTCGGTGTAGACAAATGTATGCCGAATTCAGGTAGGCATGTTATCATATTCCCCCTCGCTTTCTGTCACTCGATCGATTATGGAAATGATAGCAGCCAATGAAATTCCTCACTGGTTGCAGAGACACGTGCAGTCAATCAAATCATTCGATTATTTTGGAGTCTCACTCTGAAGTTTTATGTAGGCCAAAAATACTGAACTCCATTTCAGTTGTGCCCGACAAGATCGTCAGATTAGCCGAGGAACCCTAACGGGTGAATGAAGCCTCCAACTCATTACTCCCAAACGATAATTGTGCACGTGGGAATCACTTGACATTGTTGTGGGTCGCCACACTTCACTCTTGATTCTGGTTGAAACTACAATCAGATGCATTTCTAATGCACTTCTAGCGATAATGCGTTGCAGCAAACTCAGATAGAATTTCATGGTGCTGAGTAGCTAGCTTTGTAAATCATAAAGCGACCATTTTTATGATAGTGGGCTTTCAAATGATAGCAGCCAATGAAATTCCTCACTGGTTGCAGAGACACGTGCAGTCAATCAAATCATTCGATTATTTTGGAGTCTCACTCTGAAGTTTTATGTAGGCCAAAAATACTGAACTCCATTTCAGTTGTGCCCGACAAGATCGTCAGATTAGCCGAGGAACCCTAACGGGTGAATGAAGCCTCCAACTCATTACTCCCAAACGATAATTGTGCACGTGGGAATCACTTGACATTGTTGTGGGTCGCCACACTTCACTCTTGATTCTGGTTGAAACTACAATCAGATGCATTTCTAATGCACTTCTAGCGATAATGCGTTGCAGCAAACTCAGATAGAATTTCATGGTGCTGAGTAGCTAGCTTTGTAAATCATAAAGCGACCATTTTTATGATAGTGGGCTTTCCTGTGTGCCTCCTAATTGTCTACTTGCCTCCGCTTTACATAAGTCTATGTTCTTCGTCTTGGATGACATCATGTGCAATCATGCGTTTGTTGAAAATTCTCAAGCCCTGTGGAAACCAAAATCTCACACTACGTTTCAGCCTGCATCTGTTATCCACTGAACTATCAACCTGTTCTTCGAACAAGAGGTTAGATGGAAATAAACACATGATGTCTGAGGCTACGTGGTGGCGGAGATTTTCACACCTGGCGATCCGAAAAGATCTACCGCGGTTTCTGAGCCATAATTGAGAAACCATCAATCAGATATTTCCTTGGCTATGGTACCAACATTTAGACACGCTGGACTGGAGTTTCGCTTTTATTAAAGCTTCTAAGCGGTGCATACATTCTTGACCGTGGAGGAGTTTGAATTCCTGACGTCGGAAATGCAAGACGAGCGTGTTTTTTCTCAGTTCAGCGGACGCCGGACGCACCTGAATTGTTTCGTCTGGCGATGGGATTGGTTCGCCCGATGCTTCGAACAACATCCCAGTAGTTATCCTGATTTTATCGATCGACCGACTCGTTTGTCGGATGTTCCCAGTCAGGAAGCGTTTCATAGGCTTGAAACCTATTTGACCAAACCAGATCAGTTGTGCTTATGGCAGTAGTAGAGTTCATCTTAATTGTTTGATACCTGTTTGAAAACTGTTTGACAAACGCTGCAGTTTGTTCTTGTTCTGAAAAGCTGTCAGGAGCTCAATAGTTCAGGAGGGAAAACGATGAATTTGTCACGTGAGTAATCAGTTCCCTTTGAACTTGCGTGGTACGAATGAATTCTGCATGAGTTCCCAATCAAACGCAGCGACTCATTGAACGATACAATTGCCTGCTAACTTCAGTAATTAACTATCCAGGATTTTCAAACTTACAGGATCGATTCCCATACCAATTCTCTATATGTCGGGCAGAAAACACTCGCATCCGACTTTACGAAATCAAAATTGGGTGAACATGAGAGTGAACTGTCATTTTTTTGTCACTTTCAGAGAATCCAAAAACAAAAACAGAAAGTGCGGTCCAGGAGAAAAGCAACACAGCTTCGACAAATGTTGCAGAGGTGAGGTTATCTGAATGTTCCTACATCTGCGGTTTACGCTCATTGGCTTGCATTATTCGTAGAAGACACGCAAGGGTTCACTCATACTTTCGATCACTGGGTTGCGGCGATTGCAAATGATGAGTGTAAAAATACCTATTGCCAAAGTGTGTAGTTTATTTCATCAAGATGATGTAATGACGCTACTTGCACTCTTTGGTAGTGCTTGTAGTCTAACGTGTTACCTGACGAAATCCAGTTACACAAACCACATTCCTGTGGTGAGCAGACGAGGATATATGGTGTCCAGGTGAATTCGATAATTCTGTCAACTTTCTAGCTGTACGTCATCTATGTGAATATTCTGAGCGGGATTACAGACAGCCAATCAGTCTTTGAACATTCAGTAGTCAAATATAACGGAATCGTTTTAGCAATCCCTTAATAAGTAAATCAGTCAATCGCTCACCTGGAGTCACAAAATCCGGGAGAGTCTTCCAGGACCATTTTAGTTGAAACGTTCGATTTCCATGGGAATATACAACCCATTTTATGCGCACACCCTTGGCGCGCTTGTATTCTTCGTGTATAAAGTACAATAGATTATCGATATCCCATTTGATTTTGATCTGTCCTTGATAAGACCGGACAAGTACGCTTATGTTAGTCGGTTCAATGGTGGGCCATCTTTTGACCGGATCAACGAAGAAATAATCGTGCGTGAAAAATCTAGTTTCGGCATCTAAGGGGACCTTTTTTCCAAGGAGGTGTACTTTATACGAAAGCTATGTACGAGTCCGGATTTCATAAGGGAAACCAACTGAATAAATTGTACTTAAAACATGGCAACTCACCAGTGGCGAGTCACATTCAATATGAAAACGGTCTGGGGGTATTACGAAACTAACTTGTATGCCACTCGGATTAGTGCATTCTTAAACTGGTACGCATAAAACTCACTCTTTTGACAGGATTTCTAACTGACACCAGATGTTCCTATGTTTCCTGAGCTACCTCAGATAACAAATGCATAGTGCAATATAGTTTTGTACGGCCGCAAAGATTAAGGCAAGGGAATGTGGTACGATCTGATTACTGTGAGATACTTTGTTAGATTCGTTTACTGATCAAAGAACTTCCATTGAATGTGATGGAAGAACAACATACAATTCTGAAATACGATCTTACCCAGTCATCATCACCATCATCATCATCATCATCATCGACAGCATGACATCAGTGTTCAACACCGATTCTTCACTGCCGTACAACCATGACTTATTTGAAAGCCTTATTGTGAAGAAAAG